GGGGAGGGCACATAAACCCCCACCCTCCCCCCCCCCCCCTGCCAGGGGCAGGGACACCTTCCACTAGACCAGGCTGGGGTCTAGATCGCGCCCTGTGACAGTCATCATCGTGCCCTCAGAGGTCCCAAGAGGGGGGTCCAGGTGGCTGCCGTGCGACATGTTTTGGTGACTTCAGTAAAGCCACGCAGTCTACAAGCTGGGCTGAGATCCGAGGATGCCTGGCCCTAGGCATCCTGGAAAACCATGCAGGCCTCCAGCAAAGATACAGCAGCTAAAGGCAGGAATTGCGTGCGCCAAGGGGAGCAGAAAAGTCAGGATGTGTTCCTGCCTAGACTGAAAACCCAGGCTCTGCCCACCAGGTCAGATGGAAACCCCGTTTCTGTTGCGGACTCTAACCGCACCTTCTCGTTTTCCTTCTCCAAAGTGGTCCCCAGTGCTGCCACTGTCATCATCGTGGTGTGCGTGGGCTTCCTGGCACTCATGGTGATCCTCGGCATCCTGCGCATCCACTCCCTGCACCGGCGGGGAGCGGGGCAAGAGGTCCCTGGGGCTGCGGAAGAGGGGCACACCGGCACCGGGGGCAAAGAGGGCGACATGTTCTGGGACGACTCGGCCCTCACCATCATCGTGAACCCCATGGAGGTGAGGGGCAGGCACGGCGGCTGGGGCTGCTGGGTGGGCGCCTGGGTGGCCAGATCCTTCCGCTTACCTCCCCGTGTCCCATCTCCCAGTCCTACCAGAGCTGCCAGGAGAGAGCGGCGGAAAGCAGGGAGGGCAGAGCTGGTGAATGCTTGGAGGATGAAGAGGACAGCACCGACTCGGAGACCCCCGACTCGCCGGACAGCAATGACGTAGGTGACCGACACATCATCGGCAAAGGCGACGGCCCTCACCGCTACTAGGAGCTTTAACACACCACTCCAGTGGATCCCCCCAAAACATATGGCTGGAAGGAGGAGGTGTCTTACTTTTAGCTTCTTCCTTCCCCCACCGTGTACACACGCGCTCCTCCCTCATTTCCCATTTCCGCCTCCCATGTTGTCTTCTGCCACGCTCATGGTGGACATTCCCCACTTCCTGACCCCACCTCCCTGGAAGCACTTGTGGTGGCACAGTTCAGATTGCAAGGAGGAAGGAGGGGCTTGGAAAGAAGGAGGAGCCAGCCACAGGGCTCAGAGCGGGGTCTCTCACCCCCCTCCCCAGATATATATATATATTGTATATTTTTTCAATGTTGTCGTTTGAGGTTTACTCTTGTTTCATGCAAAAAAAACAACAACAACAAAAAAAATCCCCCACTGCAGCTTGTGTCGCTTTGTAAAACCCTCGATACTCCTCAACGAAATGAACGAAGAAGGCTGAGGAAACAAAAGTGGATTTTAAAATAAATGGATTTCAAATAAACTCTTTGGGGCTTCTGCAGTTTTTCGTTACAGTCAGGGAGCCTCTACCGTGAGGCTGGAGGTTGCCCAGAGCGTCCCTTTACCAGAAGGACTGCCCTGTCCCGGGGAAGGGTTAGAGTTTTTAGCGTGCGGGTTGGAACGCATCACCCCGACCCTAACCCCCGCCCGCCTTTTGGAGAACCAGAATACGCTTTGTAAACACTGTGTAGCCTTCCCCAGAGCATGGAGGGGGCTAGGAACCCCCAGAGAGAGAAGGAGAGAAGGCATCCCAGCCTGTCACGGGCAGGCGTAACGCCCGCAGCAAACTGAGTTCTTGATTGCAGAAAGAAAATAAGGCTCTTCCCATACCCTCGGTGTATCATCCCCAGGAAAAGACCAAATCCTCAGCATCATCCATAGTTTCACCTGATCTGCTTTCTTTACCAGCATAAAAGAGTATTTTTCACACCAGAGGTTCCAGCTTGTAGCAGAACAGTCCCAGCACTTCTGAGGGAAGGAGGTGTCCTCCTCCTTCTGTTGGGAACGGAGGGGATGGGAACACAACAGACGTTGGCAACGCAGGGCTACGAGCCCAGTAGCACGAGCTGTTAGGGCAGTGCTTCACAGCAGGTCGTGCTTCTTCCCTGGCTCTGATTATTCCGACCCCGCAAGTTGTAAAGAGGCTGCCTGACACGCCTTAGGGCAACGGCTGCAAGGTGTTAAGTCCCAAAGGCAGATTCTGCAACAGGACACGTGCTGGCAGCCAAGGGTGAGAAAGGCTGGAAGGCAGCACAGTTCCGCGAGCATGGGAGAGCCCCCGGGAGCAGGAAAGGTCTCAGCACAAGATCTCAGCTTGCTGCACTTCCCTCGGACAACTCAGCTCTGGCCTGTCTTCATGTCCAGCTGCGCCCACATACGGTGGTCACTGGCTCCAGAAGAAGTGACCATGCTGAGGCTGTCTGGGATACTCTTACGCCTCCTCCTTTGTCTCCTTCCCAGTAAATTCCATGCCCTTGTTTCATACGGGGAGCTTACAGCAGGCACTGTCAAACCAGTGCCCTGGTATCTTGAAGCACTGGAATTATTCAAGTCTCCAGAAAGAAGAAAGGCTACACTGGGCATAATGGAGCCAAAAAACGTGGCACAAAACAGGCTTATGTAGTGAGAATGCTACGCCTGACCCAGTTCTGGTACGTGATGAAAAGCACCACCTCTCGGAGCACGGAAAAAGGCCGAGCCTCAGGAGGATGAGGTTGCTGTACCTCTGCAGCAGCCTTCGCCAGGTGCTGCGGTGTGCTCACAAGGTAGAAGAGGCCAAATGTACGATGAGTTCATAGGTAGCCATCATGATAGCCGTGTTCGGAATCTGGCGGATCAAGTGAGCCAGGAGCCCTCGGTACAAAGCCAAGGGTCCCTCTTCACGGACCACGAGCTGCACAGTCTGTATAAAGGAACGGTATCGTGACCCTTCTTCTCGCAACCGTGTCCGAACGACCTCTGGAGAGACAAAAAGGAAAGCGGTGTTTAGCGGAGTGATCCTACAGGCCCGGCCCGGCCCGGCCAGGGGAACAGAAGCAAGGAGAGAGGACCCACTCACCGTGTGGGTACGCAATGCACGAAGCACACGTTTTGGAGACGGCAGCAGCTCCCATCAGCCCAAAGAAATCGCGGCTGTTGGGCGACAGCGTGAGTGGTGGGGAAAGGGAATGACGGCTGTTCCTCAGCTGCTGTTTCAGTGCTTCATAGATGACAAAGTGTATGATGGTCTCCGACACTCCAGCGTAGGAGGCAGTGATGCCCCGGTAAAACCCGCGGAGGCCCTCAGCGTGGTACACGCGCATGGCGCACTGGAGAGCATTGCTGGCCGTCTCACCCTTCGCCCTGTCAAGAGGAAGGAGGGTTAGAACGCCAAATGCTGTTGTGAACACTGTAGGGCTCTTACCCAGCATGCCTTGAAGAGCTGTGTCCTGCTGGCAAGTCACAGACCCCCACCCCACCCCCCAAACCAGCCCTGACCCGACACGGAGCGGCTCTGCGCTGCCAGCCTGCCTTACCTGGCTTCCAGCTGCATCCTGGTTTTCACTAACCAGATGGGGTTGGTGAGTGTGGCAGAGGCAACGCCTGGAGAACAGAAGAGGAACACAGCCATGAGACCAGGATCACACTGACAGTTTGTGAAGAGGTGCTGATCTAGCAGCTCGCCGAATTCTGCTTGGCGAGCTGCAGGCATCTGCAATCTGAGAATCACCTTGAGCTCCGGTGGGAGGACAGACATTTAGGGCAGACTATTTAATTCTCCTCCTCCCCCATTCCAGCCTTTCTCTGGTGGTAATTAGCTTCCCTGACTCCAACATAAACCTGCTACAGGCCCTGGTGTTACAGAGAGGCAGGGAACAACGGGCTAAACTTCCAAGAGTGATCAGTTGTGCTAGAGAACCAGGATATATCAAGAGAAATGATTCTGAGAGTGGTCTAAATTGCACACTGCCTTCCCCTCTCACAGAGGAACGGAGCTCTTTTCCTGACAGCAGCTGAAGGGGTAAAGACTAGATCCATGACTTGAAGAGATGAGCCTAAAGAACGAGAGAACATTCTGGTTGGCCGAGGAACTCACTGCCCCGTGTGTGGAAGGAGAAAACTTCCAAAGACAGCAGAACTCATGGGAGGAGCACTGGGGAAGGAATGAAACCCGTTTACACTTAGAGACAGAAGGGCACCTGGGCTCTGGTTTGAGACAGAAGATGCTTACCTGCACAGGCTGCTGACAGCATGTGTACTTTCTTGGACTCTGGTACAAGCACAGCATTAAGCCTCTCCTTAACACCTGAGTAGGCAGCAAAATAAATAGCCCTGCTTGGAAAGAAATACAGGGGAGGTTACAGCTCACTTAGAAGAAGCGGAGGCAGCACTGCTGTGAAGTCTCACTCCAACTTTTCTTATTCCCAGCACAGGTTTGTCTGTGCTGACATCAGGCAGCATTTATAGTAGGCGCACAGCAACCATCTGGTCCTACAACTATGATCCGAAGGTTCAGAAAACGTCTGTGCGATCGTGTCCTGTGGCACAATAAGCGCAAGGCCCAGGCTGCTTTCAGAATGTGGGGTAATAGGTGCCATGGAGGCCCTTTAAGAAGTGTACAGCATGAGCTGTGCTCAGGGAGCAGTACTCACCGCGAAGGAGCAACCCCAACAAGGTTTGGGCCTAGACCTCGGAACAGGGATCGCACGCCTTCCTTCTCAAGGATGGCCCTACGGAGGGAACCAACGGAGACATCAGCAAATAACTAATCATAGAGTCACAGAGTGGTTTGGGTTGGAAGGGACCTTACAGACCATCCAGTTCCAACCCCCCTGCCATGGGCAGGGACACCTTCCACTAGACCAGGTTGCTCCAAACCTCATCCAGCCTGGCCTTGGACACTTCCAGGGATGGGGCATCCACAGCTTCTCTGGGCAACCTGTCCCAGTGCCTCCCCACCCTCTCCAGGAAGAATTTCTCCCTGATATCCAATCGAATCCTCCCCACTTTCAATTTAAACCCGTTGCCCCTTGTCCTGTCACTACAGGCCCTTGTAAAAAGTCCCCCCCCAGCTTCCTTGTAGCCCCTTCAGGCACTGGAAGGGGCTATAAGGTCTCCCCGGAGCCTTCTCTTCTCCAGGCTGAACACCCCCAACTCTCCCAGCCTGTCCCCATGGCAGAGGGGCTCCAGCCCTCGGAGCATCTCCGCGGCCTCCTCTGGACTCACTCCAACCAGTTGATATCCTTCTGATGTTGAGGGCTCTAAGCTAGGGACTCTCCTGTTCCTCCTCCTTCTTCATTCTCCTGTACTTCTTGTAGCATCCCCTCCTCACCTCTCATGTTATCCTTTTTCTACCCTACTCCCATTTTCTCTCCATCCACTTCTCCTCTCTCTTTCAGTCATTGCTTCCTGTTCTTGCTGACACCATCACTCTGGGTCTGATCAAACCCGCTGGCTGAGAAACTTCTCACAGTCCCAAAAGCTGCCTTGCAATCTCAGGAGTTCAAAGCACAGATTAGCTGTGAGAAACACATGTCCCTATGCTGTGATGAAACCTCCTACTGCTCTTGCAGTTTTCAGAGCCTCAGTTCGAATGCTACTTCTCCCTCTCCCCGTCCCCCGCCCCACCCTGACGGCCAAACCTCCACCCCCCAGGTGCTGACGTGCACACTGGCCTATCCTCCTCACCTCAGCAACTTGAGCACTCCAGGAGATGGTGGGGTAGGGTTCATCAGCCGCACACTCATGCCCGGCAGCTGTATCTCGGAGAGGCACAGAGGTCGCAGTGCCAGTTGGGATGACTGCAGACGTGTCTTCACCACTTCCAGGGGACAGGTCAGGATGGCTCCAGCTGTGCCACCACATCTAGGGCATAACAGAACATATAAGAATGACCCCTGTGCAGGAACAGGGCAATAATTCTGACCCTGCTTGTCCACAGTCTCTCCCCTCTAGGAGAGGAGGTTAGGTCCCCCAGCCTGCGTCACACGTGACCTCCTGCTCTGACACTGATTAACGCGATAACGGCTTAGCTTGGGACATCTTCTGGCAGCCTCCCTCCGAAACCTCACTCAGTATTTGAGACAAACAGTCCCAAGTCCACAGGGACTCGGCAGTCCCTCAGCTCAAAGCTGCTGATCTTTGCATTCGGAATTTCCCAGAGCAAACACTGCTGCTGCCCAACCTCGCTGCAATGCCTCCTGCTGAGCTCACCAGGCACCGTGCCTCACACCTCCCCACAGCAGCATTGGCTCAGAGGGGTAGCACAGAACGCTCCCACCCCTCCGCCTGACCGTGTCTTCAACCCAAAACCCGTTCAGGCCCTCATTGGCAAGGCCCTGTAAGCAAAACCTATATTTCCTGCCAACAGCCAGGCTCACCCCCAACCTGACTCGGTTAATCAAAGAGGACCCTGACCTTGAGCAGAGAGAAGGTATTTTTGGAAGTCACGAACCATCACCATCCATCAGTCAAGTCGTACCTCAGTACCGCTGAAAGGACACGTATCCCCTTTGTCCCTTTCTGCCACCCAGGGACAAGTCAGAACGAGACGTTCCGTTCTTCTGCCCCTTCAGATCCTCTGACTGACAGCTCTGCTCTAGAGGATGCTCAGTACCTGAGAGACTGTTTGGAGATGAATCTGCACAGAACAACCGTGCAAGAGCCTTTGAGGAAAACACAGTTGTGCCTATCTGCTACAGCCAAACTCGCATCATTTCACAAGAAATGAAGACTTAAAAACTCACCCTGCTCTAATGAAAGAAAAGCCAACCAAAGAACAAGCTGTCGGGGAAGAATCAAGTGTATCAACAGAATGACAGACGATGGTGCAGGAAAGCGAATGGCTGGCATTCTGACGCATTATTTTGAAAAAATCTGTACAGCTCAGCGCACACATACATTGCTCTCACAGCCTTTGCTCCTGGGGCTTCATTTATTACGGCCTGCGTGTTAGGGAAATGAAAATTTAAAAAAAAAGGATGCCTGTTGCAGTGAAATCCGAGAGTTGAAGATCTGGCAGCCAGAAGGTTATGCAGCTAGTGATGCCAGCAACTAGTTACGCTACTCCACTATACCCCTGCGGCTCTGTCAAGCCCTTTGCAGAGCTACGCAGTGGTGATGACTTGCCGAGCAGCCCATCAGCAGCAATTTCCCTCAGGAGATGAGAGGAGTGGTAGGAATCTGGGACAAGGTGGAACCTGACCAAAGAACTTAAAGTCGTGCTCAGAAGACAACACAAAGCAAAGCAGTGGAGCTCCTGGCTCAGGTTCTCCGGATGGACAAGCTGATCAAGCATGGACACCAAGACAGCCTACACGGTGCTCCAGGAGCGGCATGAGGCAGGGACCCCTTTTACAAAAGCTACGTTGATTCTTCCCATGCAGACCATATTCATTCAGGGGTCCAGCAGTCCTCTTCTTTACCATAGTTGCTACTAATTTGCCTGATACAAGATCCAGACTTACAGGCCTGTTGTTTTCTTGCCCCAAAGTGTAGTTTCCAGTCCAGGAGATTGACTACAGTGGTGACAAATAAAGATGTATCTGAATTACAAACAGAGCGGTTTCATCGCCTTATCTAAAAGGTGAGCAAACAACTACAACAGGACAAGAGTTAGAGAAGCCATTGCTTGGTATCCTAAAGATTTTTCTCTCTAACAGTGCATAAGGAGGCACAACTTTATGTAATGTTTTCATAATATCTCGTTTCTTCAGGAAGTCCCTACCTGAGCATGGTCAGGATATGAATTTGAACCCACACCTCCAGTAGATACAAGTTCCTGAGCTCATGTTCCTCAAGCTACTGATATGTATAGATAAAAGACAAGATTTAAGGAGAAAAAAAAAAAATAGAGTTAAAGAAATTGTTACTCCTTAGCATGGTGTTCACTTAATCAGCAGACAGAGAGTTGGAGGTGAAGGGGGATCTCTGAGCCACTATGGCTCAATGGTGAGACTAAGGATGATTTTTCCGGGAACAAACACTGACTGAACAAAGCTAAGGAAATAGGGTGTACCAGTTTTTTGAAAACTGTAAGAAATCTCAACTGTGATGTCTCATCATGCACCACATGATACAGCTGCTCACAACGTATGAAAGGCACAGGTCTCCAAAATTCTTCCGTTTCAGGAGAAATGGAAAATTACATTCTCTTGTCACAGAGGGATGGATTACTCTGCAGCCCAATGAAGGCAAAATTGAACAAAATCGAGATGGAACAAACATTTTCAAATCAGCAGGCATAAAACACCTCAGGCCATGGGTATTAAAAATAGCTGGTTGAGGAAACTTTATACCTACAGATGTAAATGCTCATGAAATGTTAGGGAACTGGGGAACTTTAGCCTAGTGTAAATGCTCATGAAATGTTAGGGAGCTGGGGAAATACATTAGCCTATAAGAGTTCCAATGTCTACCAGGACTACAAAAAAGTGTGTTTGTAATAATTTATGCTGCTAAGGTTGTATGGTTATATGACCTGAGATTCGTGCCAGAAGAGAATTACGGAATCAGATCACTACAGACTTAAAAGACACTTTGTACTAATCAAAGTGTGGTGAGGAAGGCTATCTATATATATTTTTTTAAAATGGAACTTAACAAACAAAAGTTGGATTCACAAAAGCAACTACAAATATGTAACATAATTCAGTTTTTGTAACATAATTCAGTTTTTCAAAAAGTGAGCTTGATATCTCACAAAACCCCCACACTCAGAGCCTTAGTGCACTGTCTATAGAATAAATGCTAAATGGATTAAAATCAGACCACAAAATCTCAAAGAGAAGGAAAAAAAAATTTTTTTTTTTCCCTGCCTTGAAACCACTTGTTCAGTGAAGAATCAAACAGCAGTGGTCTAGGAAAATCACTTCCAGGCTGGACCTAACAATTTTCAGTTTCTCCACCAACAAACAGGACATTTCACTTCTGATAAAATCCACAGGTGACAAAGATTGTCACAGCACTGAGCAAAGCTGCAAGGACTGGCAAATAACTAAACGAACATGTGGAACCCAGCAGTCACCAAGGGTCCTCATGCTGTGCTTAAACAGACTGGTTTGACACAACCCAAGCCCTAAAGTCCTAACTCTAGAAGCAGGGAAGAAAGGAATTCTTCCAAAATATGATGAAGAGCACTCATCAGGAGTTGACAACCAGCACAACACTGTACTCCCAGAGCAAAGCAGTGGCAAAAAGAGCTAAGTGAAGAAGACGGGTAGTTTTACCTTAGAAAATGGTACTTGCCTCTAGAACTTTCTTTCACATTTTAAAAGGAAAACTGGCAAGTTTGAGGTGGCAGAAAAAGTGGATTAGTTGAGAGAAATATAAAAACCACTGTGAACATTTCTCAATTATCTTAAAAGGGTATGAGAACAGGCGCAGAGGTGCCAAGGTTTACTGATAATTCACATTTTAGCCCTTACCTTACTTAGGCTAGCCAAAAATTTAGATGACTCGCAGATCTCCATTTAAACCCAGCAATGCTAGGTCAGGCAATCTGCAGTTAAGCTAGGACTCTGCCTAGGACACCTACGGAAGAACAGGAGAAATACTCATCTCCAGAAAACCCTCCCAGGTTATCTGCAATTTTCAGCTCAGGGATTTCCTCAGCCAGAAATGCTGCATTGCTTTCAAACAGCCTTCGACACATTCTTTTTCATCACTCTTTAAGACTGCTTTCTGGACACGTAAAAAGCTTTTACCCTCTAATACCCTGCGGCCAGGAGTCCCACAGTTTAACTGCACACTGTGTTAAGAGCTATGTTTTTGCATTAGTTCTGAACAACACTCTCCTGAGTTCAGTCTGATGGTCCCCAGTTCTCCTACTAGAAGATAAAGTGAACAACTGTTCCTTCATCAATGAGATCTCGTTTCATTAGGTAAAACAAAAGTATGAACTATACACTGCAGCAGTAACCTGAACTTCTTCATCTCCTATTCACCTTGCTCATCTCTTGGGTTTTAATTGCAGTTCAAGAATTACTGCCTAATGGGCGAGGTCAGGATACAGACTGCCAACTCCCACTTGCTACGACTCCTGTCGCTAGCCAAACTCCTGTAGTTTTTCAGGAACAAAAGTGAAAAATGGGGAAAAACTTAAGAAGAAAGCTAACAAATATGGAAAAAAAATATTCAGAAAGGCTAGGATGCACTGACTATATAGTTCAAAGGATAAATTAATAAATAGCATATATAAATAGCACTGGGAACTGAGCAGGCAAGTACATACAAGCCCAGATCAACACAGCACAGCAACTGCATTAGCTGCAGAAAGCTGGAAATGTATTAATTCAGAGCAATTAAATCACGGGCTTTATTGCACATGATATACTGCAGACCTCATTCTGATGCAGATTCCAACGGGCTGGCTGAACTTGGAAACGGGTTGGGCGGCTGCCGAGGCCAGAGTTCCGCAGTTACTCCAAGTCTGGAGAAGCACAGCACCTTCTGCTTTAGGACATCATAAACTTAAAGATGGCTGTTTTGAGACTTAAATGATAAACGTTTTTGAAGAGAGGAAAGGTGAAACACTGCGCAAGAAGGGAATTGCTCAGGGGCACGCTGGGAATTCCGAGGCCCTGCTGGGATCCACACTCCCAACACTTCACTCGGCAGAATCAGCCGCACTATTTGAAGTCCGAGAGGAC